TACTACTTGGGACACAGGTATTTGCCTTAAGTTCCCTAGCCTCCCTCGCAGACGTTCTTTGGGCTACTTCACGCGTTCCTGCCCCACGAACGTCAGGAACGTGTGACGAATCCCTAAGAACGTCTGCCTACCTCTGTTTCTAAGCTAAGCTAAGTGTGAAGCTACTGATACGAATATGATTTTTTTATTCTCTTGCAAATAATAGTCATTTTCACAGGAAAGGTTTTGCGCATAGGATCGGTTTGAAAGTGAGATTTTTTGGAACTTGAAAATGGCCTGTTTATTCGCCTATTGTACTTTTAATTACAATAGTTTGAGATTGAAGAAAACTAAAAACTTAAACACAACATACAATATATCTGAAAGCGTATAGTGCGGAAACCTAAGATGTTTTGACGTGGTGTTAATTTGCGTATATAGTAACGGAAAAGTACGGTGAAAGTGGGACACGCAAACAAACTGCGCATATTATCTCGTTATCTATAAAGCCACGTTCCTTTTCTCATAATTTTTAGGCTTTCCTCTTGAAAACATGATGTTCATCGGAGCCAAATCTGTTGAGACGCCAGATTCGTTTAACATCCATCCACATCTGAAGAAAACTCACGTCGAAACTAGGATAAAGAAGCTTACAAGTGGAGCAGCGATTGACTGGGCAACAGCTGAAGCACTCGCCATTGGAAGCCTTCTTTATCAAGGTGAGCCAGCTACTTGTTCTTGGTCCAATTATTGAAAAGAGTTTCTAAAACTGCGGCAGGACTAGCTAAGTCGGTAGGGGGATTAGTGGGATACCAATGTAACCGAAGTCTTCCTCATGAAGATACCAAAAAACCTTAAAATTGTAAAATCTTTGATACCGAATACCTAAAATTCTCTTGTAACAGAATACCATATACCGTACCTAAAAATGATTTGTCAGGTTACTGAGAGATAACACACTCAGATATTGTGTGTATCTTTTGGTGCACTGCAGTCGGTCACGAGCATTTTGTATTCCCTCCTTTGCCAAATCCTGGCGAACTGGTGAGCATATTTCGATATTTTTGTCAGAATACATTCATATATAAAAAAAATGTAACAAAACTTTGTGTTCTAAATCCAAGATACCATAAATTCAGGAAAACGAGATACTTTAATACCGTATACCAGCTTATACCTGAATAAAAAATGACCGTGGATACCCGTAGACCCCCAGAACCCCGCCTGGGCCTGAGAGTGGAAGGTCGTGGGGGTCTATTTCCGAGACCGGATCAGTTATCAGGATCCTAGTGCATGCTAACTACAACCTGTTGCAATAGTGCTTGAGACTCTGAACCGTACTTTGGCTTAAATGGCCTCTCCATGACATTGTGCTTGTGAACCCCCCTCCACCCCTGGAATGGAAGGGAAGAGGGAGGTTAGTATTATATCTCACAGACCAGGGACTAGCAGCGATATGTCAGGAGAGGGAGAGGTCGTTTTTTCGTCGGAGTATCTCAACATTTTTACGACTGGTTCACCGTTGTAGCTATGCAGGATTTGCCGGTTGACTGGCAGTATCGCCATATATTTCTTGCAATAATGTTGAGTCTATGGTCATCGGCAAGGTGATAGCCTTTGATGTTAATGATTTTGTCGTCATGCGTCAATTTTAGGTCCCGTTTACGTGAAGAAAACTTGTCGTGGGTAGAAGGTTCACTCGCCTACGCGAGCTACCCTGGGCGAGCCAACTTTTCAAACATTTCCTTTCAAAAGTTTAGAAACCAAAAGTTTGCTCGGCCACAAGGGTCGACCCTTTTTCGATAGTAGGGTATAAACCAGTGGTGGCGTGGCGAAATGTCGGCTGGTTACTCAGGCTCTGTTGCCTTTTGTTTGAGAATCTCCTTAAGTGAATCTCTTTGCATTCACGTCGCAAGAACATACTTTTCAATGTAAGAGAAGCCAATGGCGTTATTTCCGCAGCAGTGCACTGTCTCATTATTTAGCTTCCTTACTTTTGCTGTACAGGGTACCAAGTGCGTTTCAGTGGACAAGATGTTGGAAGAGGCACGTTCAGCAACAGACATGCCATGTTAGTGGATCAGTCAACAGATGAGATGTTTGTCCCTTTGAACAACATGTTTGAGCAACAGAAAGCTTTCCTTGAGGTAATTGACTTCGTCGAGGCCTGTGATTGGGTTGTATAGATAAATCTTGGGTTGGGCTGCAAATCTGAAGGTCGTAAGTTTAGGTCCAGGTAATGAAGTCGTGTTGTTTCCTTAGTTACACCTCTCTCTAGTTCAGTTTTTCCTGCAGTCCTTTGATTTTGAAAGCAGAGGAAGGTTGAAGAGACGAGAAAGTTTAGTCAATAAGGATGATGCGAGGGAGGGAGGGGGATAGAGGTTACCTGTCTCCTCTTACCTATCCCCTTCCTTTCTCCCTGTGGATCAGGCGTGTACCACAACATAGCGGCCAACATAGCGACCTCTAGTGCTCTTGGCCACAAGGTACCATAATGCTTCGTGAGGAGGTCCTGTTAGGAGAAAATATCCCACTACAGACGAAAGTTGCAATACCAGCACTCGCAGTTACTTTATGCTATAGATACAGGTTAAAGCTCCGCTGATCTAAGGCTTGCCAGTGCCTCCCACTTAAAGTTTACCTTGTACTTAACCGACACTTACAACTTTGACTAAAGCCGCTTGCAAAAACATTGGTCAGCGGTGAGTTGACCGAGATAGTTGTTTAAAAACTTGCTCACAAAATCGCTCCCGATGAGCATGAGTTTTTCATTTAGTTTGGCTTCTCTACTGTAGTTAGATGAAGCTATCAAACCTTGTATTTATTTTCTTTTTCAACTTTTGCCTTGTCGTATACACTCTAATACTCGGAGTTATAATTTTGCATAACTTCGACAAGCTAAGCTAACTGCGGGTTGGTGATGTATGTAGCTTTGCCTCTGAAAACCTAGCCTGTTTCAGGCGTTCAGATAGTGAAGACGGCACAAAGTTGTTGTTGTTGTTGTTGATGTTGATGTTGTTGCCAGTTGTTGATAATTGAAGACTATAGTTCCTTTTCCTTACACTAGGTTGTCAACAGTCCTTTGTCGGAAGAAGCCTGCCTTGGTTTTGAATATGGCATGAGTGTTGAAAACCCAAATCACCTTATCATCTGGGAAGCACAGTTTGGAGACTTCTTTAATGGAGCGCAGATTATCATTGACACGTTCATCTCGGGTGGAGAAGGTAACTAAAAGAATACTGTCAAAGCTCTCGTAAGCGACCATCCTGCCAGCACAGCCTTTCTTTCGCTGGCTTGATTTTGGTGTACTCGAGAAAGACTGTGCATGAATCCAGCAAGATCTTTGCTGACCATGCGCGGCATGTTGCTAGGATATAGTTTCCAACCCAGGCCTAAGAGAGAGCTTTAGTTTTGAGGACGAGGACGAGTACGAGTACGAGATTTGATTTAAAGTTTTTGTGCGTGTTCTTTAAAAAAGACACCCCGGAAAGCTTCCTTTTCATTTTTTTTTTTTTTCACCAAAAAAGTTAGTGTGGTTATTTATACTGAAGGAGGTTAAGCCCGCTCCCGATAGCAAAATGATAAAACGTCTTACATTTGATAACTTGTTCCCGCCACTACGACATTCTCGCTAAAACTCGTTGTAGTGTGACGACGGCTATCACGTTTTTCCGCCAAAATGACGTTGGTTCACGCGTGGGAAATACTCAGTACTGTGAAAATCTCGTACTCGTAGTTGTCCTCGTCTCTGAATCTAAAGTTCTCTAACAGCTGTGCCCTGGCAACAGCGGGCTCGGTTAAGACTATCGTTTTATCAATTAATGGATGCTCGCACTCGAAAAAACCAGTTTGACGAGAGAAAACAAGACTGACTAGGCCAGAGGTTTCGGCTTTGGTGGCTTGAAAGGTTTGACGTGATTCAGGCAGAGCCTTCTTTTTTCCTCTTTACTCAAGAAGACAAATGGATTCTATGCTCGCAAGGTGGTAAGCGACCACCTGAACAATCCATAACAGCCGTCACAACTTAAGCTGGTCGTTTTCAAGAATGCGCTCTCGTACACTACAATATCAAAACAGGGCGTTGTTCTTATGCTTATGTCTATGTCACGGCCGTCCCCCTCTAGCACATACCGTATTTTGCTCGAATAAGCGCCGCGGCGCTTATTAAAATTTCCATGCCTCAAGTGCGGCGCTTATTCGATGGCGGTGTCAGTTTGAAAGTTGGACGCGACAAATAATTTTATTAACCACGGTATTATTATTTTTCGTATTGAACTAACAGAATTAATGTCTTTTGATTTTGATTATATTAGGGCCGCGATACTTATTTCAGGTCGGCGTTTAATCGGGGGCGGCGCTTATTCAAGCAAATACGATAAGCTTCTAATGCTCGTGATTACGCTAATGCTTGCGTTATGTTCATGCTTATGCTTACGTCTGTGTTAAGGATCTATAAGATTCTCTAATAGATATAATTAATGACTAATTTTCAGCGAAGTGGCTGATGCAAAGCGGTCTAGTGATGTTATTACCACACGGGTATGATGGAGCCGGACCAGAACATTCCTCCTGTAGAATAGAAAGATTTCTTCAGGTTGGTATCCTGTCGCCCCTGGTATGGTGAGACAGTCCTGCGTTCTGGATTTCACGCCATGGATTTCGGATTCCTTGTCAGTGGAACTTGGGACGCTTTCCATTCATCAAAAATTCCTGTTTGAAATGTCGGAAATTTCACGTGCTCAGTGGAACGGTACATTCCGGTTGCACAGACCCGACCCAAGCCACCGCGCGTTTGGTTATTGTTCTTGTAAGAAGGATACCAAAGAGCGGTACTAGGGACAACAATTTTGTCTAATGGAAAGGGACTTTTCGGTTGGATCGACCGAAATGACGGGATCGGTTAAAGTGGGCCACCTTCAAAGGTGTTCCCAAATATTCCGGTCGGACAGAACCGAAACGGTCCGTTCCAATTTGATTTCTAACGGTCCGTTCCAATTTGATTTCTAACCGAAATTTCCGGAATTTTGGGCTGAATGGAAAGTGTCCTTGGATTCTGGATTCCTTGAGTTGATTCCGGATTCTAAACCCCAGGATTCTGGATTCGACTGGCAAAAATTTCCCAGGTTTTGGAATTCGGATGCCCTTACATGGGGTGAATCTTAGCTATGACCCGTTCACTGTTAAGTGAATTTCGCGTACAGTTTTACATTTTATAAACCTTGGCTGCGTTTTTTGGCCAAAATAATTCAGGATGTAAGGATTATTGGAAAATTTGACAAAGGTGCAGGTGCATCACCCTTTTTTGCACATTTTTTAGCCATCGTTGCACAACTGCGACGTCTTAATTTCGTGCGCCCGCTTCACGGAGTAGGTGAACACAACACAAAAAGTTTCTTTGTCTTTTTCTAAACTCAGACCCTGTTTACATGGAGTGGGGGACCCCGGTCTAGTGGGGTAGGTTTCTTTTGTTTTGTGTCCCCTAGAGCGTGCAAACAAGAGAAACCAACTCCACTAGACCGGGGTCCCCCACTCCATGTAAACAGGCCCTCAGATACGGTCCTTTCGGATTCAATGCAGAAAATTTCGCCAACATATGACAAATTAAATGAAACTGAATAACATCTATGAAGTGCGAATTTACTTCTTAAGTGAATTTTCGGTTTGTTGTCATCCAAAAATTTTGCTACCATGGCAACATGACGTGACAACTTACCCTCTCTATTTTGTAACAATATATCATCGTTTTTGCGGTTTTAAACTAACTGTTGTCTATACTTTTGTCTTGTTTTCAAAGCTAACGGACAGCAAGGAAGATGAAGTAGATGGAGACAATGTTAACATGTACATAGCAAACCCTACCACGCCTGCGCAGTATTTCCATTTGCTAAGACAACAGGTGAGTGCTATGCCAAATTGATAAGGATATGACCGGTGACAAACCTCGACAAGCCCTCACGTAATAATTTTTGCTTTATTTTCTCCACTTTCCCTCTGAGTTATCGACTTTTTATGTCTTACAGATGCTACGCAACTTTCGTAAGCCACTTATTGTTGTCGGGCCCAAACTTCTGATACGACTTCCGGTAAGTATAGTAACCAAGTATCCATGTCTTGTCTGTAGAGAACTTGCGGAGGACAAGTTATGATTCACACGTGAAAGTATGTGTGAATGAAAGGTCTAGACTTAAACGCGTTCATACGAGATAAAGTTGATTTTTGTTTTAAAACATAAGAGCGAAATTTGGGAAAGCCAGGCCAACAAAAATTCAAAGTTGAGGTTGTAATTTAACCGTTTAAAGGTTGAAGCATTGCCAAGACACCACTGATTCTCAAAACGTTTTTAAGACTTAAAAAGTGTTTGAAAACTGAAAACAAGCTGAAACTGCGGAACTTGTCGCCGACACTTGTCAAAAAAAAAAACGTTTCCCGAAGCAGTTAATTTTCAGGCGGGCAAAAAGCTTTTTATTTTGAGAAAAGTGAAAAAATAGTGGCATTCAACATTTTAGACATCTTTACTTTTTTCCACCTCCTGGCCCCGGTTGTTCAAACGTTGGATAGCGCTATCCACGGGATAAAAATCTATCCAATGGATAGCGCAATTAGTTTCCCTAATACTTATCCGCTGGATAGTGATTTATCCGGTGGATAGCGCTATCCAACGTTTGAACAACCGGGGCCTGGTAAATAAATAAAGAAAAATGACAGAAAACGCCTTATACGTGTGACCGTATACCGTTGCTAGTTATAGCATCCATCAATCAATCAATCAATCAATTAATCAACTTTATTGGTACATGCAATTAAAATGGGTTTTCACATACCAATTACAATAAAATCTAATATGAACAATAGAAATCTAAAATAAACATTTGAAAGTGATAAAACATTATCATATTATTTAAAAAATATATAATTTGTATAAAATATGCATCCTTAGGAAAGAGCGCGTTATAGCATTGTGGATTTGCTGAGCTTGATTATTAAGTCCTCTTCCTTTGTTCTTCTGTACGTGCAATAAATGAACGTTAGTCATTTTCCGTAATTTTCTTCAGGCTGCTGTATCATCACTTCACGAGATGGCTCCTGGAACTCACTTTCAACCAGTGCTAGGGGATAGCACTGTTAACAAGGCGTCTGTGAGTCGGGTAGTGTTCTGTTCTGGTAAACATTACTATGCTCTAACCAAGCAAAGGGAAGCGATCAACAACATGAATACAGCCATTGTTAGACTGGAGGTAAGCATCTATGCCAGGCCTTAGGGCTTGGCAATTCCTCAACTTAAGTCAATTTTGAGACATCTTTTGCAGTTCGGCATTTGCGTCTGTACATTTGAAAGGCACGTTTGTTACGGGTGCGGTATGTTAGTATGTAGAAGGTGTAATCAATGGTGACAAGTGAAATTAGGGAATAATTTCACGCGCGTTTTGTCCAAGTTAGTTAATATTAATTGTTAGTAAAATCCAACTGGTGGTCTATCATCAAGGCTGTGTTCTGATTGGTTGAGCTGCTACTAGGCTATATGTTATAGCCCACTAGTAGCGCAAAGCGCCGGCTTTTTGGCGGCAAAAAAGGATTAAAGTCGAGCTTTAACTTGCTAAAGTTGTTTTGTCTCGATATTTTTTGACCAACTAGTTGGACTTTACTAAAACAATTATTCCTCTCGCCCTCATGGCCTCTGAGTCAATAGCCCTTTCGGCCTTCGGCCTTATGGGCTTATGGCCCATTCGGGCTCGAGGAATAGTTAATAGGTGACAGAGGAATAGTTATTGGGTGACAAATTAGGCTCACAAGACTCGGGCTTTTTTCAAAGGTGCACGCCATGTTTTCACCCTGGAAAAAGTTGTTATAGCAACCTCGTTATAATTTTACGTGGGAAATTATAAATTAACGCTGAAATTTCGCGCCAAAATTAAGGAGTAATTTGTCACCTATGAAAAGTGTATTACATGACTTATGTCCCTCAAGGAGCTTTATTTTCCGGGTTAAAATTGCATTTCTTGATTCTTTATATGGGTTGGCTTTTGTAATTTTTGCCGTCTAACCGTTTTCTGAACTTAAACTGAGGGTCAATTGTCACAATTTCTTTGTGTTTTTATTCCAGTCGTTGTGTCCTTTCCCTGCCGAAGTGATTCGTCAAGAACTTTCCCTGGAAAAGGTATAGTTTCCTGGAGCCTCCCCGAACATTCTTAGTCACGCGTTCCTGCCCCACGTCCTCCGCGGGGAGGCTTCTACTTTTTTTAGAAATGTTGGTCACGTTTTGCAACGGTTGTATGTTTTCCCACTCCTCGTAGTCTCCCACGCAGCCGTTTTTGTCTCGGCACGCAAAGCTCCTCCCAAAGAAAGTTTGTTAGGGAGGAGCGTTGCGTGACGCGACAAATACGGCTGCGAGGGAGACTAGCCCACTCCTGACAACAAAAAGGAAAGGGGATTGGGGAGTATTGATTTTAAAAAAGCAAAAAAAATAGCGTCATAAATTAAATCAAAATTTGCCCGTTTGAGAAAAAGACAGTACAGGTATAAGATGGTGTAAGGATAAAATTAGGGTGGAACATTTGCCTCTTGCTCTTTAAAGGCATTTACTGTCTTTTTCAGAATATATATGGAGCCAAGAAGAACACAGAAATATGGGAGCTTGGAGTTTTGTTTCGCCACGATTCGAAAATATTCTTGGAATAAAGGTGACTTTCTCACTTTCAGCACTCAGCTGTTTCGGAAACACTACATTAAACACAAAGGTGTAAGTTAATCACACTTGTTTTTGTTTTTGTTCTAGCTAAAATATGCTGGTCGAAAAGTTTTGGGCGTGCCCGCAGTGGGTATTGGAAAGCTACACTCACAGGAAGTAACAGGAGATTTTAAATGATACCTTCTCCAATAATGCGGATTGATGAATCATACACCACATGTCCTAGAGGTACGCTGCCGTCGCCTCGCTTCATAAGGGCTTGACTATGCTTAAATGTTAAACACTTCTTTACAACCACCTGCTGTGTTATAAAACTATCTTGTATCAGTTCAAGTCGTTTAGGCACAGGAGGCGCTCACATCGGATTAGATTATAATAAATGAGTAATGATTACTTCATCGATAGTTTCAATTTTGCGCTCAACTGGTGAAAGACCTCAACAAAAAGAATTGGGAGAGGGGTTGTCTGGGATAATCGGAAATTGAGAAAGCTCTCGAACGTATCGATCACTTGCCGAGGATACATCTTAAAAGAAATTTGAGCGCTACCGACGATTTCTCGGTTCCACACCTCGCATTCACGGACAAATTCAAAATAGCCGCCAAAAAAGGACTTTATTTGAGTATAAATGTATTTAGCATGAAAGAACTTTTGAGTTTACCGTTTTTACGTCTGCTGCTGGAGACGGCACCCGCCATTTTACTTGGTCAGCCGAACCATGCGAAGGTCTAGCCGTTTATTCAAAGGCAGCACCTTCATTTTCAGTTATTTTAAGACCCTGAGTATTGGTCCGGTCCCGGGAATCGAAACCGTGCCCTTAACTCTGCAGGCAAGCGCTCTACCGACTGAGCCGTACTCCATGAATAGATTTTAAGTAAGTAATCTTTATTCATTTATCGTAATCTAAACGGATGTGAGTAGTCTCTGTGGTTTAGACGGTATTACGGAAAGAAAAGGACATAAAATGCCCTATATGTGAATCCGAAGTTACGATGGACGCTTATGTGCGGATACCTCGCCACAGCACGGACATATCTCTATTACGGACATATGGACCCAAAGATACTAGCCTAATCCAAGATTTCCTTGCGGAGACATCTGTGAGGCGTACTCTTGGCTATTTCCCTTTGGTGTCCGTTCTAAGAGGTTTTGCTTTATGGTTTTACGTCTACTGGAGTTCGATTTGCCAGTCCTAAAGACTTGTCAGTTACAAACGTGCCCCATTTAGGGTAAACCAAGACAGTCTTGGATTCCGGATTCCAGGTAGTGGAACCGGATTCCTTGTCAGTGAAACTTGGATTTTGGATTCTAATCCTTAGCGGGATTCCGGATTCCGGATTCCAAAGCCCAGGATTCCAGATTCCAAAAGTAAAAATGTCCCGGATTCCGGATTTCCTTACATGGAGTGATATACACGCTTAAACATTTAGTGATAAACGAATGATGTGGCTGCTGTTCTACAATACAAAACGGTAGAATCCAGTCAATAACCATGTATGTATACCTACTCTTAAAGATGTTGGCGCGCGCCAGTAAAACTGAAGAAATGACCTCGTACGCTTATAAATTCTGGTTAAGTAATTATTTATTTGAGATAAAATTATTTTGGTATACTCGAACTAATTGTGGCTTTTTAAGTTATAACATAATTTGTAACAGAAATTGCGGCTCATCCTCGGTGTAAAAACCTGTGAAACTCACGAGTGACGTATAACAATGAATACAAAGAAGCCACTGAGAAGTCAACACAATAGAGCCAAGGAAAAGGTAGCTAGAAAACAAAGAAAAACTTCACCAGTTTTTACACAGAGGTAAACCCGAAATTCTCACGAATTCTATTTATGTCAGTCTTATGAAATAATTTTTAAAAGGATTCTGGTTTTATTTGTTTGAGTGTCTACTTTGTACTGGTGTTTTGAAGTCTTTTTATTCTACATAAATGCATAGCTCAGTAAACTTTCGTACGGAAAGACCTGTGTGAAGATACATATATCCGGTAAATTTAAACTATGAGCAAGATTTTAAATTTAAAATCCGGATAAAATTGAAGAGCTTTCGACTTCAACTGAAGTCTTGTTCACTTCTGCGCCGGCACGTGTCGTGTCAGGCGCATGACGTGCTAAGATTACATCATTGTTGAGAGGCCCTGGGTCCCTAGTCCCCCTCCAGGTTCTGCGTTTGTCCCACACGCTGGGGAGGCTGTACCCCCCACCTTCGTTTAGAGTCGGACCCTTGAGCCTGGTGTAGATCGCTTACTTTACTCCTCGCTCAAACCACGTACTAGGTTCTACAGTCAGTTGAGGTAGAAAGCGACGAATATGTTTTCAATTTTATCCGGATTTTAGTTTTAAATTTTGCTCATAGTATCGTACTCACGTAATGAGGTAAAACTCGTCTCCAAAACCCAAGCCCTTCCTTTGTGTTGTCATTCACGCTCCCCGCGCGTGTTCCCCCTACATATCCCCACATAGCCGTATATAGCCTTACATAGCCGTACATAACCCTACATAGCCCAACATAGCCGTACATAGGCCTGCATACCCTCACATAGCACTACATAACCCTACATAGGCCTACCTACTGTAGTCATGCACTAAGGAGAACGTCGTACACTAACCCAGGATCGACGTTTGCTTGGCACGTTCAGGGATGGCTACAATAATTTGAAGCCATATGGTTTTCCTTTTCATGGTGCTGTGGACGGTTTCAGTCGTAGAGTCTGGGTTGAAAATTTGGCCCTCAAACAATGACCCATGCCACGTGGCTTCATTGTTTTACGATTGTGTTAAATCAAACCCACGCTGAAAATAATAATGTATGAGAGCGTCCTCTTTGTCTACGGCTGCTCCACATCTGGAGCAGTATTGGTGAGTTTCCCCGAGCTCTTCTGAGCTGTTAAAGCCCTTAAAAAACACATCCATTAACATTCTGACCAGATGGCGGAATTTCATTTAAAAAAATGTACGATTTAAATTTAGCGACACTTAATTTTGGTGCATTTTAATTGAGCGAAATTCGTTAAATTAAAGTGTCGCCAAAATTTCATGTAATTAGGAAACCTTTTAACAAGAAATTGATTTCATACGTAACAAAGTTGTTTACTATGCTCCAGTTAATTAACAGAATTAATACAGTATTCTCCTGAGGTTCTCTATTGTTTTCCATACGGATTTCTACCAGTTACAATTTAAAAAAGAAGATTTGAAGTCCTTTGATTTAAGCGGTCAGATATGCCAGCATCTTCCTTTCACCGGAAAATCCAATTCTTCCATGTTGGGCAGCAACGTTATCGATCACCAACAAATCACCGCATTTCCACTTGAATCCAACGGCGCATGCCCAAGATTGTGCTCTTATATGCTGTATCACCTGTGGTTCGATCTCGCTTCCGTCGCCGTAATAACTGTGGTACGGCCATTTCCCGTCCAAGATGTCGGTGTCGTTAAATGTTGGCATCGAATCCACGCACGAATTGTGGTGCCCTGTAACTAGATTGAACCAGTATTTTTCTCCAGTCACAGGGTGCGGTATGAAAGCAGGTCGGATTAGCGACAAATACAAATCTCCGTTCTCATCCCAGTGGATATCGTTGCCTTGTTGTTTAGCTATATCTTCCACTTCCTAGAAGAGTAAGAAAGAACTGAATCAAAAACAGCATTGTACCTTGCTGGCATTCCCCACATCCCATTCTCAAGTGCTAGTTCCTAAGTGGGAACGAGCTGCTAGTCATTTTTTGACGCCCAAATTTTAGTAAACGGAAGGACAATGACTAGGAGCTAAATCGAGTCTCAAAATGTGAATGAAATTTGCCCTGTTTCCTGACGAACCATTACGTGATTCCCTGTCAGTGGCCTGGGGAAAGGTTGAGTGCTGGGTAGACAGCAAGGATATTCATCCCTCTATGTAAACAGCCCGAAAGAAGTAAAAAGCTGATATGCATGGTTGTATCCAACCAACTGAGATAGGCATAATAAAATTGAACATGTATTTTGGTCAGCGGAATTAGTCTTTGCTATTTTTAAGCCAATATTAGGTAGTGTAATTTCTGACCACCCTCCTTACCGAGATAAAATTAAAACAAAGAGCCGAACTCTAGCAATCAATACAGCGTATAGCGCCGTTACCTTTCTATCGTTTGTCATAAAACCATCTTGCCACGATATATAGTTCCTGTGTCGTGTGGAAGGCATGTATCTTTCGTACTTGATGTGTTTTTCGTCTAGTTTTCTTATGATATCAGGATCCAGACGTGATTGAAGGTCATTGTTTTTCATTATAGGCGTCTCGCCACCGCAGCCATCGGCAGGCTCCTTCACACAGAATAGGTACACCTAAGAAATACAAATTGCAACGTTACACTTGACAGTCCATGCTTTGAAGATTATAGCGAATCGCAAGACTAAAATGGGGATATAATATGGATTGGTCCTTTCTCTGGCTTCGTCCTCGGGGTACTGCGCAGTAGCCTGCGAGAAATCTCTCCTGGGCGCTCTGGCGGCAGGGCGAAAAAGGAGGGTAACTTGTAGTCCTTCCCCTCTTCCCTCCCCTACACCCCAGCTCCACGGGAGAGCTTGCTTGCAGGCTACCGCGGAGAGGCGGTTTAGAGCGACGTACGTCAAGTCTTTTTCCTAAAAATGTGTCTTGGCGGAACTAAATTTGTATTGCCAGGTGTCTTTTTCGTAAGAAGACGGGTGAAGACGTTTTGCTGGTAAATTCAATGGACAAACAACGGCCCAAGAGTGCAAATAGTCCACTTCTGGTTGACGTGCGTCTCTCAAAGAGAATCAAAAACAACCTCGTTCCCAGAGTCGAGGAGGAGAGGACCCTGGGAACAAGGTTGGATCAAAAACCGCTACTAAAGATCACGTGAGACGAGGCGAATCACTGGAAAGGAGTGGAGCGTCCGTCAGCGTGAGTAGAGGAGCGCAGTCCTGCCTTCATTTGCACCCAAAACTCGTAATGAGGGAAACGTCTGGGTAAAGAGACAAGAGGGCCGGCACTTCCGCTGCTCGTTCGCTACTGCCAGCCTCGACATGACGGCTTGCTCTCTTGCATGTCTGAAAAGAGACTGTTGGCAGTCAAACCTCGTCTAGACTTACCAGGATAAATCTGAAATTGGCGTTTCGCCCCCACAGACAAATTGTTTCCCCTTCGTACCGTCGTTTTCAAGTCATTTTACTGCTCATACCGAGAAACGCTGTGTCTAAAACAGAGACATTATATGTGTATGCGCGCTTAGCCACGAGTTACCACATGGTCTCTTTGACGTTGCCTTTCTAATTTAAAACCGTCTTATTTTAAATACCAAGTCTTCGTTATCACTTTAAAAAATTAAGTTAAGACCGCTCGTTTTCAACGTGCGTGTTTTATAGCGGAGAGGGAAAATCCGGGAAAAAAAGGAATTGGAGCCTCTGACCCATAACCCTAATCCCATTCAGTTGCAGGGAACGCCAAATCGTCTGAATTGTATAAATTAAAAGTTTAAAAAAAAAACAAAACAAAACAAAGATGTTTGTTTTCGCAGGGTTTAAATGCTAAATGCGAGTTTGTCAACTAGAAAAACGGGGACAATCCATGCCAGTTGGTGTTATGCAACCCCAGATCCTTGTTCACATCTGCAAGCCAGGCTCAGCAAACAAGGGAAGAAAAATGGAGTTTTTTAATCATCGCGCAGCGCGCCAAACTGCTTTTCTCTGTCCTTTGCGCTTGAACAAGATTTAAAACTCTAATTACCAATCTCTTTCTAAAGCCTACCACTGGAATGAGCTCAAAATTAATACCTTGGATGGAAAGTTTTCACTATAGGCTAATTCGTTGTGCAACTCTATTGTATAATTTGGTGGCCTCTCACTAGCAGTATATGTTCCTGCAGCTTTGTCTACTTGAGAGCGATGTCCAATGCCTCCATACGCCGCGGTCTTATACGGGATCGCCCCAGCGATTACAGAAAAGTCTTCTGCAGACTTAGCAGGAAGACCTCGGAATAATATAGCAGGGCTACGAGAGAAAGTTTCTTCCGCAAATTCCATGCATTTTGCAGTAAGATCAGCCAGTGAGGAGCCGTTTGGATTTTTGACTGCAATGCCGAGTGGGAATGAATCTGTTGGCTCTCCAAGGAATTCTGGGAAGTCCGAACCCGAGGAGCCCGGAAGGAACTGCCTTCCTCTTAGCCTCGACTTGAATTTCGTCACCAGCTCCTGTTTTGGTAGTGGCTCAAAGACGTTGGACAAACTTCTTCCAAACGTCGGGAGAGAAACATGAGAAGTGGTCCTTAACCTTGGGCCTTTGAAATGAGATGAAAGTCTCCAGGTTGCTGACACCACACGAGCAATCATGTCCTGCAACACAATATCGTATTCACTTAATTAAGCGCCGCACTATAGAGCTCCATTGCTTTCCTCTTACCATCGCCTTACAATAGAGCCACGCCCTGGAATAATCGCAACAACCCTCGGAACTTGTTCTGATGGCTATGTCACGCTATTTGCTATCTTTTAAAAAGATAAAGAGTGTCTTCGCTTCAATTGAATTTTAAAATTATTGGTCCACTTTTTGTTATTAAAAGACTTTATTTAGGCATTGAAAATGTTTCCTGGAATTGCATAGTTTGTAATGACTGAGAAGTCCCTGCCTTAGTACCTACTCTCACCTGTGTCAGTAAAACGCTGGGCCGGGGACGAAGGAGGGGTCTGTCTTTTTAAAAAAAGAATGCTGTTTTAGGGTTAGGGTTAGGGTTAAGGTTAGGGTTGGGGTTAGGGACACTAACCCTGACCCTAACCCCAAAACAGCTTTCTTTAAAAAAAAAAAAAAAAAAAGATAAATTCCGATCCTGGCCCCGGCCCCGGCTTCGACCCCGACCCCGCGTTTTACTCTCACTACTAGGGAGCTTAAGCAGCGACGTTTTTGAGCGACGCACGTCAACCGGAAGTGAGGTATTTTTTAACATGCCTTGATGATATAAAATTTGTATTCCTTAGCTTCTTTACTGTTATAGAGGCGATTTGACTGAAAATTTGCGCGAAACCACCGTCAAAAAATGAAAAAAGGCCACTTCCGGTTGACGTGCGTCGCTCAAAAACGTTGTCGCTTAAGCTCCCTACTCTCACCCAACCGGTGCCACAAACTGCTTGCCTTTGAAGGAGTCTCTTTTACTTAAGTTCTCACCACCGGGGTAGAATAATGATCTCGCAAAACAACGCTTTAAACAGCTCGGGACAGCGAAATAAATATGACAAATGCCAAAGTTAACATTTTATGGAAACATTTAGGTTCAAATTTGTACTTTGGAGTAAATTGTAGCCGCCGTTGGGTTCTCTGTATTTCTTCCATTGAGTACTGACAAACTCCGCTTTACGGACACTCGCTTAATAAGGCACCTCATTATTACGGACATTCTGCTTTGACCCTTTTTGAAATCACTGGTGATCCCCGCAATCTGATTGGCTCTCAGCAGTGTGATTTAGTCACGAATCACACTATTTTTTGCTCTAAATCACTTCTGTTCCAAATCGCGTCGTTCATGTGCTAAATCGCATCATTTCTGCTTTAAATCGCACCATTTTTGTCCTATATCGCATCATTTCTGTTTCGAATGTAAAATGAGATTTAAAAACCTTTTTGTTTCGGCTTTTTAAAAAACCGGCTACTTGATCAATGATATATTAGTACTGATTTAGCCTGTTCCAGGCGTTCAGATAGTGGGGAGCGGTGCGAAGAAAAAAGGAGCTATCTTTACTTCGCACCGCTCTCCACTATCTGAACGCTTGGAACAGGCTAGTACTGACTGAATTCTGCGATTTCAAAATGGCTGTAATAAACTGATAATCAAACTTCGTGTCGTGCAATTTTGGTCTCAAATCATACTTGTGATTTCAAATCGAACTCGCTCAAGCGTATGATTTTAGACCAAAGTGCACTCTACGCATCAGTAAGCGGCGCTTTAAAATTTGTATCTGTTCGGTCATTCTGGGAAAACTTGAGTCTTATCTTATAGCGGCAGGGTAGCCTCTTTCTTTCAGGCGAGTTTCTAAATTTTTTGATAGAAGTCCTGAAAAATGATTTGACAGGAATTAGTCCTTAGAAGCTTGATCGCTTCTCCTTTGATCATTAAAGCATTTCTTTACGGCCGGCGGGTGATATGAGTAGACGTTTGTGTACTGAAAGGTTTCTGTTGGTTTAGGGTGTTTGCACGTCTAGCATTGATTCCTTGTTGACTGATCTAACACCTTTATACACTTTTGAGGTAACACGAGTGGTAATACAAGCCACGAGGTAATACAAGTGCGGTGACATCCCGATTTTGAAAAACAAATTAAACCAAAAATAGAATTTTGTGATTTTATCATTTCGTAAAGAGAAGATTGTCTTTCGAGGATCCGTACAGGAGGCACGGCAAGATCTTTCACCTTTTATTAGTTAAAAATAGGCAGGCTTGGTCGTTTGACGACCTTTGACTTTTGTAATGTAAGGTTGTTTTACACGCTGTCTACGAATGCAGCGTTGAATGTCAAAAAGCGGTATGCGTGACTAATGGTAAATAAACTCCGCATGCGCACGCAATCCGCATTCTATCATTAGCTATGGCTATTATTATTTATTGTTTTAATTATAAACGTCTCACACATTTGTTATTATTTATTTTTCATTTTTTCCACACTCCGCACTTTCCACACACAACACTTTCAATACTCCTCATTTTCCACCCAACCAAACTACTGTTACTTACATTGGCTGGTGAGCATTTTAGACCATTGTACGTCGTAAAATTGAATGGAGTCCGACTTGTTAAGTAACGCTACAACTCGGCTTCGATCTTATTTGATGTCATTTGATGTCATACTAATACTGTATATCGAATGCTTACCGCCTGCTTCCCTTTGCCGATTGCTTCTTTGACCTTCCCGCAGTCAGTTTCCAGTTATGGTAGTTTTACTTGCGAACCGGGACAGCCACTACTGTGTCTTTAAAAACTCCGTTACAAGCACATGAGCTTATGTATCTCCAGCTCGGAGGGACACAATTCCACAATGATTTGGGTATTCCGTACGAGTGTTTTGCGTACCCCCAGGGAGGGACGGTGGTCTTTCTCGCCTTGCCACCCCCGTGAGGGGGTGGGGCGAGGAGGCGGGTGACATTTCAGACTATCAACAATTGCGTTTTTCGCTGCCGTCAATCATAATTACGATCACAAGCAACGAACCTTGAAACACAGAAACACACAAAACGGATCGAAATCCACCAACCACAAATCACAAACCTTGACCTTTTGAACCCGTTAAAGTAAAGTTTTGTTTCCTAAGAGGTCCGTTAAGATGATTGACGGCAGCGAAAAACGCAATCGTCAGTTGGTATGGCGTTCCATTTCCGCCAAAATTCAATGTTCCGTTTTACATTGTACTTTGCACAATCTATCGTGCATTTTGTGTTTGTCATTTGAGTTTAAACTCGCGATTCAACTTTTATGCATTCAACATTCAACTTTGATTTATGCAACATTCAAGTTTTCGCTTTCGACATTCAACTTTTCATAAGCAACTGTCAAGTTTTCTAATTCGATCTTCAAGTTCAGTGGAATGTACAACCCACTACATTTTTTTTTTCGCATCCAACATTTAGCATTTGTCCCGGCTTTAAGTTTTCGCTTCCGACATCCGACTTTGGACATTGTACTTGCAAGTTTCCACATTCGACATTCAACTTTTCGAATTCAACTTTAACCCGCTGGTCAGCGACCGATGGAGATCGTGGGCTCAATTGACCTGACCCACCCCCGCTCAAATGGTGGTCGAGAGTCGGTCGAGAGACTTCCCAGTGGAGTGTTCTCGGGAGACCTTCTCCACTCCCGACAAACTAGACGTCGACAGACGTGTTCACGACCGTGTGATAAAAGCCGCCGATCGCCAAGATGCTACTGCACCTGCTAGGCAAAGCGAGGTGAGAGCCACTCTCTTGAGGGTAGCTGACCGTCTGTCTTCTACGGAAGAAACACCATCTCCGAGTACGTATCGGGCAACCTTTAAAAAAATACTATAAAATTATAAATTGCTTGTTTACCCAAGAAGCACCTAGGAGTTCATATGAACTCGTTTAAACTTGTCCGTGCGTTCCAGATCGAATTGGAATTTGAAAGTGTTGGTTTTTGAGGAGAGGGGAAAACCAAAGTACCCGGAGGAAAACCTCTGGGAGTAAGGGAGAGAACCAAGAACAAACTCAACCCACATATGGCGTCGACGCCAGGAGTTGAACCCGAGCCACATCGGTGGGAGGCGAGCGCTCTCACCACTGCGCCATCCCTTGCTCCCCAAACGAACGACGTTAACCTCTTCTAGGAGAATTGACAAATGCCCCACCCCCGGGTAAAGGTTTTCTGACAAATCTGCCTTTGTCAAGTATGAAGAAGTTATGTGTTCAATAAAGTTCGTGTACGCATAATGCTCAGTCAATTCCAAGCGTGCCCACCCCCGTCCCCCGGGCATTTGTCAGGCAATTGTCATCTTGTCGGTCCCGGCGATGAGGATTTGTCAGAAAAGCTCTGCCCGAGGGTGGGGTATTTGTCAATTCTCGTAGAAGAGGTTAACATTGTTCCTTTTTCAATACTTCACTTAAAAATGTGAACATTCAGATAGATATTTCTATAAACAATATTTTTAATACTGTCTAATGCTCTAAAAAGATATGTGTGGTTTTCACTTCATCACTTCCCTACCCCACAGCATGTTTTGCATCTGTCCCGCCATCTTGATCAGTTCGCATATGGATGAAAAACAATAAATGTATCGTTTTTAGAGTTTAAAGGAAAGACACTTTCTCTGTGCCGTGAATGTTTCAGGCAGAAAGACCCAGAAGACTCTGTGAGATATATAAAAGTGATTATAAACTTTATGTATTGTGCGATCAATGCGACGATACGCTGACGAAACGGTTCCATCATGATGGGAAAATACTTATGTTAATCTCGTCGGTTGTTTGTTCTCATTCACTATATTAAACATCTTTGAAAATAATAGAGGTCTTGTTAAAATTCTAGGTTATAGTTTTGTCTTTGATATTTAAAATCAGATCAGTGTGATCTTTTTTGCATTAAATATAATTATAAAAAGCGGCTAGGAGCGATTTGCGTAGGGTGCTTCACGCGCGAGTTTATTCAGATTATTACAGATTTCCAATAAATTTGCATTGGTATTTGCAGTTTATTTACCGGAAAATGAAATTTTGGTGTTGTCCCGGGGTGGGGCATTTGCACCCTATTTTAAAGCCCCACCGTGGGGCATTTGCAGCTTTTCCAAAACAAAATGACAAATGCCCGACAAATGCCGGAGGAAGGATGGGCACGCTT